GTGGTTGAATGCACTGAGAGAAAGGAGGGGATTCTCTATGAGAAATATTTGAATGGACATAATATTTATTTAAATTCTGTAATACATGGCATTTAATAGTGTTTTTATAATATATTTTAAGTTTTTTTTTTATTTATTTTTATTAAGGATAAAAAGGATTAATTACTATTATTTTTTAAATATATATATATATATATATATTTATATATGTTTACATATATTAATATTTGTTTTAAATAAAATTTTTATTTTTATATTTTTAAAGTATGAACAAATGGTAATAAATATTATTTAATGATAATACCTTTAAAATTAAAATTATTGAAATAAAAATTATCTTAAAATTTAATAAATTAATAAATAAAATTTGTGTGTTTATTAAATGTTTACAAATATTTAATAGTACTAATTTTAATATTAGTGGAATTTAAAATATTCCTATATTTATTTATATATTTAATTTTTATATTTCTTTCGCCAAGTGCAGCAGTTTCTAGGAGGAAGAGGTCGCCTGGGGACTGGGCTTGGGCTCTGGTTTCAGGCTCGGGTGTTCCCTGTCTGATTGACCGTATCGCCTATCTGTATTTTTGGCCCACGGGGGGTGTCACATTCAAGGGTCACGTTCCCGGGATCCCAGACCGCCCCCGTACCCCCCTCTGGCCGCTCGCTTCTAATTAAACCATTTTGAAGTTGATTGCGTTTACAATGCTGGCTGGCAGCTCGCTCCGCTTTCCGCCGATAAATCAAATTTAAATGTTTGAGTGCTACTCAAATTGACTGCCCCCCGCTGCTTCGCCCGCCTGGATATATCCTGCAAAAAAAAAATCGGAAAAATCGAAGGCCTCGTTGGGTATCCGTATTGGAAGTGGCCTCTGGATTTTCTCTCTTTTTTTCCCCGATAGACTCTCCCCTGTGCGTATTTTTAATGTTATTTAAATACATAATAAATCCGTTATTTAAATTCTTAAATGCTGACCAAGGGGGGAGTGAAATCAGCATCAGATTCGAATTTAAAGTAATTTATAAATAACAAATTTCAATTGTTTCCGTAAGCGTAAGTCCTTAAGTGCTTTGAACTTGTATTTTTTTATTGCGTTTAGTTAATTATTTATTATTATTATTATTTTTTTATATTATATGATGGATATAATTATAAAATAAAATATTTAAGTCTGGTTAAGTTTGGGTTTTAATGTTTTCAATTACATTTATAAATTATATTAAGTATAATTTTTTTGCAGATTATTAAAGTTGATTTTTATTTTTAATAAAGATGCATTTATTCTTGTATAAATTCAAAATATACAATAAAAAATATTGAATAAAAATCTTAAATAAAATATAAAATATTTCATAATTTATTTTAATTGAAAATATGAATTATTCCATTTAATTTAATTTAAATTATTCATCTAGTGATTTCAAGTATTTTCTTTACATTTTTATTTAGTTTTCTCTCTTTAAAAACCTTTTAAATTATTTTAGATAAATAATTTTCGCTTAATTAATCATACCATATACTTTTCGTATACTCATAAATCGAGTCAACCCAGAATAGTATTTTTTTCGAAAACTTTTTCAATCGTATTAAAGTTCCTTTATCCGAATCGTGACCTTACCCATAGGAGCAGGTATATATATCATAATTGAGCCACTCGATTGCGCTACTCCCACCGCTCTCATTGTAGTTCCTTTAGTTGGCGAAACTTTTTCCACCCCTTTCCACCGTTTTTCCGGCCATTTCCCAGGGCTGTACATATACATATATCTCTTTTCGGAGCCCGACTTTCATCAGTCCCCGGTGGGTCTATCTGTCAGCTTACACGATGAGTACTTAGTGAGGGAAAAAAGCGATTTGAATTTTTGGCCAGAGCTTACAATACAGCTTCTGCCTTAGCCTATAACAATCTCCAAGAGAGAGATAGAGAGAAGAGAGAGATAGAGAGAGATAGAGAGAGAGAGAGAGAGAGAGGGAGAGAAAAGTAGGGAGCACGAGCAAGTGCGGGAGACGCTTGTCAATTTTCATTTTCATCGCGAGAAACGCCAAAAGAGAAATTTAAATGAGGCAACTTTTTTTTTTTTTGCTACCTCTACTTTTTTTTTTTTGAATGTATAGACTGAGAAAAATATATAAGAATTGTTAATATTTTAAATATTATTTAAGAGGAACAATTTTTAGTAGAATAAAGATATAGATATAACATATTTCTTTAATTTTTTTTTTTGCTGGTTTTGAATTAATTTTTTATATTATATACTTTTAAGAATATTTTTAAAATATATATTCATTTAAATTTAATCCAAAATTAGTCTAAGCAAAATTATTTAAAAATTTCCAAATTATTATTTTTATTATTTGCAATGAGAGTAAAAAAGTGTTTTTAATCTTTAAAATCGTATATTTTTTTTTTTTATATTTTTTTTTTTTTATTCTATAAATAATTTTTCTTTATATTTTTTGTTATACATTTTTTTTATAAATATTTTTTTATAAATATATTTTTTTAAATATATTTTTTCTTAATATATTTTTTTTTAATATTATTTTTTTATAAATATTTTGTTATATATATTATTTTTATAAATATTTTTTTAATATTATTTTTTTAATATTACTTTTTTATAAATATTTTTTTGTATTAATATTTTTTTTTTAAATATTTGTTTATAAATATTTTTTTCCCTGTATTTTTGTACTGGCAATTCCTTTTGTTGTTCACCGGGCTTAAATGCGTACGTGTGTGTGTGTTGGCTCTTTAGCTAATTACATGCTGCTCACAGTGCCGCCGCAGGAGGAGGGCTGACTGGATGCTGGCCTGGCCAGGTTGATTTCGATCCGGAATCGGAATGAAATCGCGGCAAATCGTCGTCGATTCCAGTTGCTATTAATAGACGCTCATTATTGGCATTTTTGGCATTGACCAAAGTCACACTCGCACACACACACACATGGAATAGTGTTTAGTGTGCGTGTGTTAACTGAATTGGCAGCCCGATGGCGCCAGTGAAGTCAGCTAAATCCCCGGACAAGAGATGCTCGAGGGTGAAAGTCCCTAACAAAATTAAAGGTACATCTGTAGGGATAAACTGGTTGAGCTCTACTAACTTAATTTCCATGCTTATTTCAAGTATTTAATTATTGTTTATCTTAACTTTTTACTTGATAAATTATTAGGAATTACTTACGAGGACAACAAAAAATGTCTGCGCCATGAATCCTTAGATAAGAATAAAGTCTCACCAATTTTGAACTCCTGGACGAGGCCCTCATCTCAGGTCCTTGTCTGGAATTAAGTTCTCACACACACACGCACACGAAGGCCGGAAAAGCGAAGGGAAAATCTTTTCTTTCTTTTCCCTTTTGTGATTTTGATGGGCCCAATGCTTAATAACAATTTCATTTACATTTTCGGAACATTTCACATTGGCTTTGGGGGCCCACGAGGCGTATGCGCAATGACCCAGCCCCGAAAGGTATGCTCTCTTTTTTTGTATTTTGTTTTGTTATGGTTTTTTTTTGTTTTTTTTTGCAGGACCTATTGTTCTCCGACCTAGAAAGGGGTTTTATAGTGTATATATATTTTGTTTGCTTCCCTTTCAATGCAATTCAATTAATTGAGACACTTTTATTTTGGCCAGATTTTGGTGTTTTTTTTTCTGGGAAGGATATTCGCTTTTTCCTGACGGCACTGCAGCGTAATTATACTGCACAAAGGCTAATTAAAATGCGAATGGGGAAAATATAGCAGCAGCGCGGGCGCAAAGTTTGACCTTTGGCTTGGGGTTCCCTGATTTGCATTTGTGTTAAAAACAAACAGCAACAACAAAAAAGTGCTGGGTAACACAAAACACTTATTGATGAAGAGCTCCACTTTGAATGTTAATTAACAAACAAGCAAGAATGTCAAGCAGCAAACAGCAAAAGAGCGGAAATCCAAAAAGCAGAAGCCAATAAGCATCACTTTCGCCGCAGAGAGAAGAAAATAAACTATAATTTAATAATTTTAATGAGGTTTTAATGGCTGTTTTCCTTGGAATTTCTTATGGTTTTATTTAATTTCTTATTTTATTATTTATTAAATATTAAAACTTAAATTTTTACTACATTTATATCACTTAGTTAAGGCACAGATAAGTGCAGTTTCACGAGAAACATTTTGAAATATTTTTTTTTCACATTATAAATCTTTTAAGCTTATTTTATTTAACTCTTGTCATTCTTGATTATTTATCTTTACTTATTATTTCATTCTTTACTAATATTCTAAACATTTTTTTTTAAGTTTTTACTTGCACTAAAATTTACCTAAATAGTAAATACATTAATTTTCCTCAATTTAAGCGGAGTTCTAAGTGTAAAACATATTTAAAACATTTTAAAATATATTTTCATCACATATTGAAACACATATTAAATTCCTTCACTTAACAATTTCTTTCTATTTCTTTTTAAATAACAGAAAACTTGTTTTTTTGTGCCTAATTAATAAATACTTAAATAATCCTGTTAAGCTTTATCGAGCGACAAATTGATTCCATGTTTATCTGACACTTTTCCCTGTTTTCATAATATTCTTTTTGCTTTTTTGTCTCTGCTATTGCCAGTTTTTATTTTTCTATCTCTCTTTTTTATGCTTCTTTTTTTTATCAGCAAATTTACACAATCAAAGTAAACAAAAGTTGTGGCCGCAAAAATCAAGCTCAGCTGTGGCAAACTTTTGCAGTTGATTTAAATTTGTGCTAACCGAATTTGATTGCTGGAAAAGTTGCTGCTGCCGCCGCCTGGGCACAGTGACCGCAAAATGTCAACAGCAGCACGGGCTGCGATCTTAGCTGGAATATTTAAAGGCACTGGGAAAAAAAATTAATCAAAAATAAATACTAAAAAAAAATTAAAATAATTTTATAAGAACTTTGGCTGGGACTTAATTTAATTCCACTTTTAATTATCAAAATTATAAATTTAATTAAAAAATGTATTTATTTTTACTATTTTTCAGAGAGCCAAAGAGGTCGGTCAAGATGCGTCGCTCCTCGTTCACGCCCGTTTTCAACCTGAGCACCCAGGAGCCACTGATCGTGGTGGAGGAATCGCATGCCCCCGAGGATGGCGATGATTTGGAGGGCGCCATCGGTGGCTGTGATCCTGCCGGCGGCACTAAGCGTTCCAACAGCGATGACTCGGAGCCGGACTCGCCGGTGAATCCGTATCTGCTCTGCCCCTTCCCCGACATGCAGCAGCGACGGAAGCACTCGCTACCCTCGCTCCAGATCACCGAGGGCATCACAGCCAGCCAGGTGCGACGCCTGTCAGAGGTCGGCGGCGAGACCGGTGGCCTCAGTCCCAAGGAGGTTGAATTCCTGGCCACGCTCTCGCAGAAGGCCAATCCAACGGCCGGCGGAAGGCGCCATTCGGTGGTCACCATTTCGGCCGTTCCGCCGACGCTCTTCGGTCGAAATCGTCGCGAGTCCATTTCCGGAGTTTCCTTCAGGTGAGGCCCGCCCTCTTCTCCTTGTAATCTTACAGTTAGTCCATGGGGTAGGGAGGAGTGCTCTTGCTTCGGCCATGTCCGGCGCCATTAGCCGACCGGAAGTGTAGTGTAGAGGACCCGGAACCGTAGTTACGACTTTTTTTTGGGTCAAAACAGACAAAAAAAAAAAAAAGATTTATTAAGTGAAAGAAAACAAAAGCGGAATAATAGGTCTATCTTTATTATTATTAACAGGCATATTTTCGAAAGATATCGATATGGTTTCGATATATTCGATTAAAGTGTACATTTTACCGTGAGTTTCCTTTGAAATTTTAATATTGCAATAGGAATAGAGCAATCCTAATAAGCAAAAGGGGAAGCATTAGAATAATTAATTATTTAAATTAAAAAAGGCTATTGTTCATATTTCTATTATCGATAATATCGATATCGATCGATATATCTTTCAATGTTTAAAATTCAATATATATACAAGTTAACGAAGTTTTCGACATTGAGTGCAATATTTTATATTTCGATTTATTATGACGAAATTTTTCTCTCGATGTACATATTGTATATATATCGATACTGTTTCGATATATTCAATATAAATATCAATCTTGCTTTGCTTCTCGTGACTTGTACCTTCACTTATTATAAGTAAATATTAAGTAAACTTTATTTTTGACCTCTTTTTTTTTGGTCAGAATTTCTCTCAGTGCATTTGACCAGTCATCTCTTTTCCTTTTCCCATCTTTCGACTCTATGTACCGGGCCTAATTGAATTGCGCCGCCGGCTGTTTCCCAGCTTTTGTCCTGTGACAGCCGCATTTTGATACCCTAATGGCAAAGGAGGCGGCGAGGAGCTCGAATTTGGATCCGGATTGGGAATGGGAATGAAATAGGCGGCTTGGGGGGGATATATAGCTAGAGGCATAATGAGATGAGATTGTCATAAACTGTGTCCGGTCATTGCCATACGAAATAACAGTGTCCCAATAATGACTCCAGTCATCGATGCGGAGATGCAATAAAATCCCTGGGATTACACAGAGGGTGCAGCCTACTTTTTGTCTTTATGAGAAAATAACCGGAAATGGCATTTGTATTTGTATTTTGTATTTGTATTTAAGGACAAACCAATAGTTGGTAAAATCCATCTTTACCTAGTTGTATCTTATCAGAGAAGCTCTATAATATTACATATTAAATCCAGATATGAAAAATCGTATAATAATATTTATAAATAATAAAATAAATAAAATATAAATATAAATGAATTAGTAAATGAATACATTTATAGTTTTCGATTTTATTCAAATGTTTTTTTTTTGTATTCCAAATTTGTATTCTAAATTCGACCCGTCATTCGCCTATTTAATCAAAATTCAGTACCAAAAACCCTGACCACATCCACATTGCGTTTGGCCCTCACTTTGTTCAAGTTCTGTGCCATTTAAATTGCATCCCACCCGGCTTCCTATCTCGGGGCCAGCCTCCAGCCTCCAGCTCCCCAATCCCAGTTCCGGTTCCCTCGTGTCGCGTGTCCATTAAACGCCCAACGCACTTTACGAGCCCAAGTCTACCGATGGAAATGGCAATGGCAATGGCACTAGAGGCGGCAAACGGGGACCACGGGGCGTATAATTTATGCTAAAGTGATAACCGCAGACCCATCAACCACTTACTATCGGTGAACATGGATGTGGGGATGGCTAGCAAGGCTCAACCTTAAATGTCAGGGTTTCTCAAATGATTAACTTAAAAAAAAAGAAAAATTATGGATTTTAATTTAAAATGGGAATTTAAAGAAAAAAATAAAAAAATATAAATGAAAGGACGAATAGAAAGTTTAGAGAAAAAACATTATACCTTTCCTGATTTTCAACACAATTTTATGTACACTTTGTATTATTTTAGAATTTCGGTTTCAAATAAATTATTAAATATAAATTAATATTATTAAATATAAATTATGTGAATATGAATATAAATATAATTAATTTGTTATATAAAAATCAAAGGCGTGACTTATATATATAATATAATATCGATGTGCAGAATTGACAATTTTAAAAGGTAAAATAATTTATTAAATAATAAATAAATATAATTTAATTAAAATTGAATTCTAAATATATTATATATAAATATAATTAATTTATATTTATATTTATAATATAAATTATAATAAAATATTACGATATTTTATTTGTGTTATAATATTTCTAAAAATTTCTTCAGCTCTTTTAATAATAAATTCCATTTATTTTAGTTTTTTCTTCTACTAAAAATATTTAAAAAAATAAATACATTAATATTACTCAATTTAAGGGCAGTTCTAGGAGGAAAACATTTTAAAAACATTTTAAAAAATATTTCCATCACATAAAATATACATAAATAAATAATTTATATATAAAATTTAATTAAAACCGAATTCTACATTTAAAATATAAAATTAATTTTTATTTATAATATAATTTAAAAAATTCTCTTTGCGATATTTTAATTGTGTAACATTAATTCTAAAATTTTCCTCATCTCTTTTAATAATAAAATAAATTTTTGTATAGCTTTTTTTTCAATTAAAAGTTACCTAAAAAATAAATACATTAATATTACTCAATGTAAGCTTAATTTAATTTAAGTTTCAACAGTAAAACATTTTTAAAAATATTTCCAACACATTAATAAATAATTTATATATAAAATTCAATTAAAATCTAATTTTATATATAAATTAAAATCTAATTTTATATATAAAATCTATAATTAATTCACATTTATAATATGATGTAATTTATAATATTCTCTTTGCAATATTTTAATTGTGTAATATTTATTCCAAAATTTTCATCATCTCTTGCAGTGGCAGTCGCCGTGGCAGCGCCGTCGGCGGACCTCCGCTGACCGACCACCGCGGCAGCATACACAACTTGCAGCTGGACATTATGGATGGGATCGTGCAGCAGCGGAAGACGCGCAGCGGCAGCGGCGTGTGGACAGCGCCCGTTCTGCAGGAGGCCGACAGCAATGTGCCCGTGCAGACATAAGCTTCCCGGCAGGGACATTTGGGTGGGTGGGGACAGCAGGACACAGCGGATTGGATGGACGGATTGAAAATTGACGATTGGAGGATTGGATTCGAGGGGGGGACGAGGGCTTACCACCGGCTGGGGGAGGAGGAGAAGGAGGAGGAGTAGGTGGGAATGGACACTGAGCAATACAAATAAACGCATGGACCTTTATTAACATTTCGTGTTTTCCCATTCGCTCGCACTCCTCCTTTCCGCCGGGAAATTGCTTTTCGCGGCTGCCGCATAAAGCAAACAAACAAACCGCAAAACCGCAGCGAGCCCAGTGGAAAAAAAGAAAAAAGAAAATACAAAAAACAGGAAAATCGCACGGAAAATGAAAGAGAAGGGTGGTGGTGAAGGGTGTGGAGAATGAGAGAAAGAGAGAGCGCTGTGAAAAAATATAAAACTTCGAAAATGGAAAAACTGCAGTTAAACAAAGAGCCAGCGAGAGCAGTTTAAGATGAAAAGAATTGTTAACAAAAAAAAGAAAAAGAAAGCAACAAAGTAAAACGTAAAAAACCGTAAAACAAAACGAATAACTGAGAATTTCGGTTAACACACACACACACATACACCTGTGCCAAGTGCCACGCCTCAAATCAGCACCTCGCCCACCATTACCGCCTGAGGAACTACCCGCCAGGATATATACTAAATATATATATTCGTAAAGGAACAAGCCCATAACCGTTATATTTAATTGGAGTGTTAAAGAAGCGAGAGTCGAGGAACCCTAAAATAGCGCAAAACGCGACTCCGTTCGCAAAATCTTGAATGATTATTAACCGAATAAAAAAAAAAATAAAAAATGGACAGCAAAAAGGAACATTTAACCGCGGTGAGTGCTTTGCAAGTTTATGTTTACATTTTATGTTTTTCTTTTTTTATGTTGTTTTTGAACATACTCAAGAGTGTGTAATTTTTAAATTATGTTTTGTATTTCCTAAACATTTACATTGCAAATTCATTGTGTTTTTAAATATTTCGAATTTAATTTCGTATTTCTTTTTATAAACTCTTGGAGACTGTTCTTCGGACTTCTCTCAAGGTTTTTTATTTCTTTTTAATTTGATATTGAATTTAAATATAATAATTCTAGTTATAAGTTAATTAATTAGAAATTTTCATCAGAAAATATTTTATATTTATATTTTAGTTCCCTATTCTCTTGTTTTCTTATCATTTTTTTTCTGGTACCTTTTCCATATTATTTTAGACATTTGTCAATGGGCTGTGTGCATTTTTAATAAACCGAGCAGCTGCATATGAAAAAACATAAAAAACACACGCCAAACGAACACATACATAATGAAATGCAGCGTTGCCTCAAGGACGAAAGTGTGACGACGGGGGGTTGGGATTGAAATGGGGGCCAAGGACGCAGCCCTGAACTCTATTCCTCCATCCTAGCAGCTTCACTGTCTCCCTCTCTCTCTCTCTCTTTCTCTTTCTCCCTCTCCCTACCTCGTTCTTGCTCACTCTTTCTGTTCGTCCTTCCCCCCCTCTCTCTCTCTCTCTCTCTTACACTCTTCTCCTCGGGCCAACGTGGCGTATGAGTAAGATTTTGCAGCAACAGCTGCATCAATGACAATGCCAATGCCACGGCCAAAGGGGTTTGGGTTGTGTTTTTAATGGCTTGTCCCCTGGCCGATTTAACCGTCCGATGGCCACGCCCACACCCATACCACCACCCCAACGCCCATTTGCAGCTCAATAAAGCTAATTTAATGTGGGCGGCTGCTCTTAATTGAAACGCGTGTTAGTTTGCATTGCATCCCACACTCATTGCCCCGGAAACTAATAATAGAAAATCAAAATGCAATTGCGTTGGCCCAGCTGAACTCCGTTTTAGCCAAATGCCGTTGGCCATTTGGTCATCGGTTGGTCGGTTGTGAAAATTTGGAGGGAAAACATTGGTTCTTGGCTACGGTTTGTGTTTGCCAAACAATAAATATAATCGTGTAAGGTAATTTAATGCTTGAATAAACGATTTATAGTTACAAAGGATTTGGTTTTTGTTATTTAGGGAATTTAAGAAATATTAAAAAAAAAAGTTATAATTGCATTACATTACATTATTATTAAAATTAATTAATTTTCAGGTATTCTTTTTCATTTTAAAACCATTCCTATTTTAGAAATTAACAGAAATTATTATTGTTTCTCAATTTAAGCCATATATTTTTAATTTAATTTTTAGGAATCTCTTTGTTTGTTTTTTTTTTTTTTTTTTATTATTACTTTTTTAAATTTTTTTAAATAGTTTTTTTATTCTTATATTTATTTTTATTTTTATTTTTTATTTTTAGGAGAATATGTACATGTCTTTGGTTTTAATTTAATTTTATTTTACATTTTATTGTTTTTTAATAATAAAAAAAAATTCTTATTAAATTTGTGTTTCTTAATTATTATTTTATAGGTTTTTATCAAAAAATTTTTAAATAAAAACATTTTCCTTTCTTTTAATCTAATTTCAAGTCTATTCTTAACTTTTCTTTCAAATTCGCATTCAAAACGTTCAACACTAAAGTAAACTTTTCTCTCCCTTCAGGTTCCACCAGCAATCGATTTAAAATTAATATAAAACTCTATTTAATCAGTAATAAACTCTAACATGAAATTAAATCAATATATTGTATATTCAGGAATTGATAAATTAGTGAATAACTACCAAGAAAGTCGACACTATTTACTTAGGAACTAGTTACTCCTCATTTTTTGGATGTTGTGTAGACTCGTGAACCACCGCCAGAAGAAACCACCAAAATGCAGACACTAAGAGATAATCCCACAGACTATATACATATATATCTGAAGAGCAGAGTTGAGAGACCCCCCGTAACTACACCCAATCAACAACAAGTGCAATCAAAATCCAAGAGAGTTGATAAATGTACCAGGTACCTTAAAGAACATAATTGAAAACCTTAACTTTAAAGCAAAAAAAAAAAAAAATAATAACCTTAGGCTAAGACCCAGAGATGTATCTGTATGGAAATGGAAAATCAACTAAATGAAAACTCAACTATTTTTGAACTTGGCTTGCTGCTTGCCCAGCCCAGCAAGTTAGCCAGCCTTTAGTTCAAAGTAACATTCCCAAAAAAATACAATTTAATATATGTACGGATTAATGTTGATACCTTGGGGGTTACTTCAATTTTATTTCGGGTTTTTTGACTAGAAAATGTTCATATTGGTGCACTTTCTTTGGCGATTCAAACTAAACAAGAAACAAATTAAAATTGAAGAAACCATCAAGCTTTCAGGTCGATGGCGTTTCCCTTTTACATAAGTCTCGATGTTGTTATTGATTATAGAGTATATATACCATAATAAGCTTTAGATTGTACATAAAACAAATACTCGGGTTTGCGCCTTCTTTGCACTCCAAGAAAATGAAGGAAAACTACCCACAACTTTCGGACCCTCCCCCTGCGAAGGAGTTTCTCCCCAGAAACGAAATTCTCCAAAAAAAAGTCCCAGGCCTTCCTCACTATTTTGACTTGACAAAATGTCGCTGGACGACGAAGAAAATGAACAAAAAGGGAGAACAAACAAAAAAAGAGAGGAGAACATAAAAAAAAGAGAAAACTAGAACATTTTTTTATTATTAAACATAGTCAAAGATAATCAGCACAAGAAGTTGGAAAATCGGGTAACCGAGAACCGAAATTATTATGAAACATAATGATGTAAAAGATATATTTATAGAAATGAACTATATGTATACATAATGACAACAGATTATATAGTAACTTATTGTCACAACGCAAGAGCAATCAATGTTTAACTTTATTAAATGTTACAAAGAGTTTTAAATATTAATATACATACAAATATACATATATCTATATATATATATACAGATATACATATATTGCGGATTATATTCTATAAATATGTATAATTTGTAGGTAAAGCTAAACTGAACAAGACACTAGACGTACTCGTAGTTCCCATTATGTTTGCCAAAAAAAAAACCAAGTCTAATAATGAAAATGATGAAGTTGTGCCAGCCGAAAGTGTACATCATTTGTACATCACAAGATGTATACCTTTCCTTTTTTAATGGAAATATATAGCAAGTAATTGTAAATCTGTTAAATTTGCCAATGATTTTGAGTTCTTCGATGGAGTTTATTATTGATAATTAACATATATTGTGTTTTTATGATTATTTTTTAAGTTAATGTTTACATCAAGTACTTGAACCTTGGGCTGGCACTCTTCATTCACACTCTCTTTGTTAGTTTAAAAATTGTTATTTTTTGTGTTTTAGCAATACGAATAAAGCAACTACCAAAAATCAAAGAAAAAAATTAAGAAAATAAATTTGTGTGTCTCTCTGTCCTCTCTCTCTCTCTATTGTGTTTGAGATTACTCGTACATTATAATGAATATTATTACTAAACTAAAGCCAATGGGAAGAAGTATGAAAGCAACAGGAGGCGGTATGGAAACCACAACAGAAATTAAAATTACTAATTATAACGATTACTTACAGTAGACTTAAGCATACAAAGATTAAATAAAGAAAACGATTTCCTTAAATTAACTGAGATCTAACATTTATTTCGTGTAATTTCAACGCTTTTTTGATAACAGAGAGCTTTTGGGGGGCTATTTGACGGTGAAAGCTTAATGGTACTGCTTAAAGCTTTGTCGAAGAAGCTTTTTATAAAGCCAAGCAAAAGCTTGGCTTAAAGACTGGCTAAAAGCTCTTTGGCCTAAGCTTTCAACTTTTTTGAACAATTTTGAAGCGTGTTTTTCGCCATTTACACTCTTTTCCCTAGGTTACGTGTAACAATTGCCTCTATTTATAAAATTCGAAATGGGTTGACACGTTTTCCCTGATAATCTGTCAAGTTTGTCCAATTATTGGCATGAATATAGCATTCAATAGGCTAACATTATATCATATCAGTTGCATGGGACTACATTTCCGGAACTAGAAAATCTCGTGATTAAATTACTATTTTATTTTGATAATTGAATATTTTATATATATATATATTTTACATGACCTAGAAAAGTGCTTTGACATTTTTGATAAGCATTTTCTAGGCAAAGAATAAGTTAAGCATCAACAGCAGTATCGATCTAGCATCTCAGTCTAAAAGTTGTTTTTAAATATATATTTTCCCAGCAGATTTTGTGCGGATGGATCCGAAAAATGGCCGCTAAAAATATTAAATACGGACAAAGAATCGGACTTTCCGCATTAGTTTCGCTAAATGCTCAAAAACAGACGCACAAACGGACGAGTATCGCGAATTCTCAGGATTATACCCGAAATCTTATTCGGATTCCAAAAATTATAGCATTTTCTTCTACAAAACCCATGACAGATGATTAACTTTAGTATCGTTTATGAGCCTAAATCGGACGTTTTCTCCGCAAAACTATCGTTTTCAATATCGTAAACAAACGTTAATGTCTGCTGGGTTATGACTCATTTAATTCTTGATTGATTTATGCTCCAAAATAGAAACTTAAGTCTTATTCTTACAAAATAAACCTTACTTTCCAGTTGACTTTTGATCACTCTCATTTCAGAAAAGTGAATTTAAATAAACAAACAACTAGTTTACAACTAGTTTCATTTGTACTTTATGTTTACGAGTCGTAATGAATAAAATTATCAATGAATAGGATTTGTTTTTAAGGAAAAAATGTGTTTACTCAAAGAGAACTTATACAAATCACTAAAAAATAAAGCAGTATACGTGAAATTTCTTACATTTTTAAATTTAATTACCTAAAAATGTAAATATTTAGTTTATTTATATTTCTTTGACTTATAATTTTGATATTTATTTATCTCATAATGTATATGCAAATCCAAGTCATTTATTTAGCAGACAAAACGAGCTAAATTGCGATCAAGTGCCCGACCTTGGCGACGCGGCTCGACTCCAGAACATGCTCAACGGCCGAACTACTACTTTTGATGGTTAATATATATAAATATATATATACATATGTACATATAAATATATATTTATTTTGATTATTTGCTGGCCTCAGGTCACGCTTTCGCCGCTGACCCTCGACTTGCTGAAAGATCTTAAATAATTTAAGAAACGAAAAGTACTTGTCTGCGGTTTTCTTTGCATTATAAATATATATATATATGTATATATATTTCTTTTTTAAGGAAAATCCCATCAATGCAGTTGATATACACATGTTCATTTGAGACTTGGCCGATAGAAAAACCATTCACAAATAAAATGTGAGAAGTCCGTAACGTTCGGTAATGTCGCCGAAAACGATCTCCTTGTCTAGAAAAAAATGTTTATATAGGTATGTGTCGCTCAACTTGGCCAACTGCTTGGGGAAAAACAGCTTTTCTTTTTCACTAATTATTCGATTACCCTTCCAGGAATGCAAAATGCCAGAAGGCAGGTAAATAAAACGTTTTAAGCCCCGAAACAGCTGTTCCATTTGTTGGAGTGACTTGCCGGCAATTACTAGGATTTTCGCCGAAGCAAAAGCACACAAAAAATGTGTGTTTAAATATTTGTAGAAGCTAATTATTTGCTTAAAAAAATCAAGGTAATAAGGTATTTACTTAAGAAGTAAGTGGAGTTTTTAAGCGAAATTTTTGGTAAATTAGTGGGATTTTTAGTGTAGAGAAAACAAAAAAAGGAAGTGTGAACATTTTTTTAACACTTCTTATTTTATTAGTTAAGATTTGAATGGCGATTTGAAATATATATAAATTTTGGCACTTAATAGCTTTAACTTTAAATCGATATGGTTAAAATAACCATTTTTTGAGTAAGTCTAAGTTTTTCAAATGTCATAGTTTAGACAAAAAAAATATTAATTTTAATTTGAAAAGATTTTCTATGTTATGTAATATATATTTTTATCATTTAAGGGGCCTTGAATTAATTTAATAAATTAGTTATTATTTAATTGATAATTAATAATTAATAAGAAATAATTAATAAATATGTAAATATAAATATGAATAAATAAATATTAAAAAAAAAAAAAAAAATAATTAACAAAGAAAACATAACATTATTGACACTATAATTCCCAACTAGTTCTAGCGTTTTCGGAGTGATAAACCAGCTGAATGTTAAGGTCGAGTAGTGGTGTTATAGTGGTTACTCTCAGTGTACCCTCTCTTGAGAAAACGAGCAAATATCACCGGAGAGATCAGAGAAAAATCAAGGAAATTCATCAATCATAGGAGGGACCTAGACAAATATGAGTACTTAGTACTTAGTACTCAGCTTAAGGATCTCGTTAATCTCAACATTAAACAATATTTAAGGGGGTCTTCTCATTCAAAAGCCGTATTTTGGACTCTTTTTAAAAAAATTCTTATTTGAAAACGCAAAGAATAATTGAAAACTTTTTTTATTTATTGTATTCAAAAATGTTCAAAGTAACTAAAAAAGTTGTTCTTGCCTCGATACGAGGGTTGTTCAAAGAGTAATGAGACTTCAAACTTGGTGGTCGAAAAAAAAGGTGTCGTCCTGGCGGCCACGATTCAGGGTCTCCAGAGCGTCCGAAATGAAAAATAAAAACGGGGTTATAATCAGAATTGATGTCATTTTCGGCTGACGGAACAGATTTTTTTAAAAAATTTTTAAAACAAAATGGCGGCCATTCAAAAAAAAATTCGATTTCGGGCGTTTTTTTTGTAGTTTAGTGTAAAAAAAAATAGAAAAAAAAATTAAAAAAAAATCTGTTCCGTCAGCCGAAAATGGTGACAATTCTGCGTCGATTCATTTTTGTTTCATGAAAATCGGTTCAGTTGAACTGGAGATATCATGGCCGCCAGTTCGAAAAACGTGGTTTCGAGATAAACGCGTTTGAAGTTTGAAAAAAGCTCATTTTGCATAGATCTTGCTTCACAAAAAAGGCTGTATCTTCTAAAGTATTTCGAATTTCTAAAAATCCTTTTGGGGACATATACACACCATCCCAAGCTATAAATAAATGCAAAAAAAAAAAAAATCGAAAAAAAAAGTTGCCCAATGAGAAGACCCCCTTAAATGAGAATTATTGGTTAATAAATATCAGTAATTTAAGCAAAACAAAACATTTAAAGACCACACATATTCTTTATTTTTAACTGATACACCATTCATAAATCTCCAAACTAAGGGTCAAGTGTCGTAGGACCTTGGCAAGTCTCATAGATGGCAAGATTTTCCACCGGATTTTTTTTCAGCCAAGAGAATCAACCTGTTGAAGGGTTTCCCAGTGCCGGTTGCAAGCCAACAAAGACAACGCACCGAACGCAGTTCGAGGTCGAGTCCAAACATGTTGCAGGCTCGATTGTTTACTCAAAACTCGATGTTGGGAATTTAGAATTAGAAATTCTCCAAGATTTCGGTAGATTTGCTGAGAGAATCACACACACACCAGGCACACACAAAATACAAAATGTACTGTGCACACACACGCGGGCACAGCTCGTGGGCTACTTAAGCTGCTCTAAATAATAAATTCAATTGTAATCTCAGAGCCAAAAGTCCAAGCGTTTATGTAAATACTTACTCAGATCGTCAATTTGCCAACAGGGGGCTGGGAGGCAAGAGAATTATCCTCGCGAGAGGCATGCCGAGATATATAGTATGACAATAAACTCAACAAGTTGTTCTCGAAAACTGTCAATTAGAAGACGCGAGCTCCTGGGGCCTCGAGCTGAGGCAGCAACAATTGTCCAAAATAAAAACACAACATGCAACGTGCTGCATGCAACGCACATCGAACAATGTTTACACAGGGGCTTAGAGAGGGGCTAGGAATTAATAGGAGAAATAGGTAATATATAGAAATAATTATTCATTTATCATTATGAAATTGAAATTAAAATAATAATAATAAATAAATGTAATATATAAAGTTAGTTGCTTATACTTCATTGCAGTGGTTTTAAAAATATTGTAAGCTCCAGATGATTTGAACTAGACTGGGCCCATTAAAACAATTGAGGCTTGAGATATATTTTGTTTTGGTTTCCGTAAATATATTATATTTATGTATGTATATATATTGTCCAATAATAAAATCTTGAATATGCAACTTAATTATATACATAAAAGCATTATTTTATATTTTAATCATTTTAATATAAATAAAATAAATCATATTTTAAACGTAGAATTGTAGACTTCAAATGGTTAAATATTTTATTTATTTGTTGATGATAAACTAAGGGAAAATTTATTAAAAATTTAATATAAATTTAAAATAAAATATGCTAAACTTAAGGTTAATTGAAAAATTTAAAATAATTTTAAATAACAATATGCGTTACATATGATAATATGAATAAAAAATAAAAAGATTATAAAAATAATGCATATTAAAAATAATAGTTATTATCAATTTTTATTAGTTTTTACTATACTTTTATTTACCTTTAAATGAAATTTCCCGTTAATTAAATTATAAAAAGGAATTTAAAAGAACTTAAATTGTATTAACTCCCTTTTCGAGTTATATTTAATTTTCAGTATCTGAGATTATATTTCATAAAAGATACTTTATATAATTATCCCATGCAAATGTAAAATTTAAGCTTAAAGGCCCCTCAGAGCTGCGCCACTGGGCCAACTCCGCTGCGTTGCAACGCAACATCGCACTATGGGGCGAACGACCACCTTATCTGGCATAAAGCCATTTTTTAAAAGTTGTTAAAATACTTTTTTTTTAACCGGAATGTATTCTTATAACATTAATCTAACTCTGTTAAGTTATTCGCTGTTAAAGTTAGCTGTTAATGCAACGAGAAGCGAGCGCTGTTAAATCGCGTTTTTATTCTGCAGATTTTAAATGCTACAAAAATGTAAAAAATCTAAACAAAATGCAAATTTTTTGATGCAATCTCTCAATATTAAAATTGAGTTATAAAGTGAGTCCAGCACAGTCCACCTCTAAAATTGGATATATATTGTAGATTTGGTAATTCTTGTTATATTCTGTGAGTATCAAGGTGCACTTTTGCGCACTTTCTCTGAAATTTAAATTAAAAGGTGATAACCTTACATATGCAAAATATCGAGTTTTTTACCCTTTAGAACGTTTAAACGACTAAAATTGGTAAAGATATTGAAATTTTTATTCATGTTATAATAAATCTGTATACATTCAAGTCATATTACAGAAAACTAGGTTGTTTCATTTAAGTTTTTTTGAATAAGAGGCTGCAGAATCTTAGGGTACTGCATATGCTTGGTCGTCTGCCCAAGCAAAAGAAAAATTATGTGATTTGACTTAAAAAAAAAAATATTTAGAAGACAATTTTTACATATTTGTTATATTATGCATTATATTAAAGTTATTAATTAATGCCACAAAAAGTGGTCGTTCGCCCCATAGTGCGTCGCAACGTCGAACTCGGCGTAGGGCCGCGGAGCAGGCTCCGCTGCCTGGCAGCCACTTGCGGCGATTCAGTCGCTCGCGGAGCGTCGTCGTGAACGGTCAGCCAGCGAGGCAGAGCTATATAGATACTGACACTGGTCCGAAGCCAAATCCGAGCTCGACTCCGATCCAATTCCGATGCAGATGCAGTTACGTCCAACGTGGACAGCAACGAGCATAACAATAAACGCTGAATTGCGAGGTTACTGCGAGAAATCACAGTTTTTTTTCGAGTGAGTGCGCCGGTAAATATCTATATATGTATATTGCAAAGAAAAATATTTCAATCATCTCTAGTCTTATGCTGTTTTTTTTTGCTGTGCTCCGAAAGTAAATCAAAATAAACAAAACAACGACGGCAACGACAACAACAAGTATCTGTATATGAAAAAGAAACAAAGAAAATAAGTGAAAAAAATCGCAATCGCTAAAAATATAAATAAGAAGTATGGAAAAAATAATTGAAATCGAAGAAATGGCAAAAGGGGCAATGACAGGAAAGGAAGTTTGGCAGACGCGAAAGAAAGCGGCCCGATACAGTGCACATTGTAAATTTCTAGACAACGAAATTAACAAAGACTAATTATTTTTCAAACCTTCAAAAGATAGGTTATTCGGAATAATTTTCAGAAAAAATGTAAATAAAAAATAAATAAAGTGAACCGGGCTAAAGTGAACCCTTCCAGAAGTGACCCATTGGAAGGTTCACTTCTTCCAGAGTTTACTTTACTTATTTATTTATTTTGTTTTCAATATATTTTCTTCTTTAATTTTTATTTTGCAAAAACAACAACAACATAGTGTGTTTGGGGCCGTTGGTGGCTTTCGCCACTTTACGAGCAACTTCCTTTTTTGGCCAACAAAAAAAAAAAAAAAAAAAAAACAGTCTGGCCAAGACCTAGACAGAGCGAGATGGCAAATGGCCATGGAGAAAGAGGGAGAGAGATAATGTGGGGTCTGATGGAGAAAGAGAGGTCCAGTTTTGAGGTCTCTCTGGCCCCTTGACCAAACATCGAAAATGTAAACAAAACGGCAGCAAACTCGTATTTGTTTATGACTTGGCCAGGATAAAACCAAAAAATGATTTGCTACGACTTCTCTGCCAGACATTCTCAAGTGTGACTCAAAAAACTGTTTTTCCGACTTCCCGACCCCCCTAAAAAACGCCATGGAAACCCCTGAAAACCCCCCTCGAAGGCCCCCGGTGAAAGTTTCCCAAACTCGCAACTTAGAACTCTCTTCATTTTCGGGTTTCTTTATTTTTTGCTTGATAAATGAGTCGCTGGCGGAGCCCCCGGGGCGGTAAATCATCTCTGCTTGTGGCACTGACAATTTCACAAATTTATATATTTGCCACAACACCGAAATACACACACATTCACACAAGTCCAGAGCCAAAAAAGTTTTCCACTTCGAGAACAAATTTTGGACTCAAATTTGACTCAAAAGCGGGCAAGTAGCTTAAAAATTGGCCACAGATCTGACCGCAAGTAGTCAGTTTTCGTTGACAAATTAAGAAATTGATTGAAAGTTTCAGTATTTAATTTGAATTTATTGGAATTACTGATAATAAAATTGAATTAATGGAAAGATTTCTGGAAATGAATTTCTGGATTAATGGAAAGATGTCTGGAAACCACAAGTGTTTTTCAAAAAGTTATTAACTTACTACAAGTGGAATAAAATTAATTATTTAATTAAATTAATTGTGGAAAAGAATTTTTAATTATGAAATAGGCAAACAATAAACAAAACTATGGATAATATATTTGGGTTTTCAACGTTTATCAATTAAAATTAAAAAGTAAATAAGCTTCCCTTTGGTTGCAAAAATGCTTGTTCTACAAACGTTTAAAAATCTATAAATTAAAATTGGTAAAATTAAATTGCTAGCACCCCCCTCTTTTCGAACACCCCCCTCCCATCGATTGTTCTCCTTCTCGGGTCTCCGATTTTTTCTCGGCTTTTCGCTGACTCCCCAGAAACACACACACATCGAATGGCAATCTGGAATATGCCCGGTATATCCAATTGCATGCCACATATGCAGATGTAATGGGAGAGTCGGCCCACTCAACCCCTAGAGGCCCCCCCCTTCCCGTACCCATTGGAAACCGACGCCCCTGCCAACTGTACCGATGATCTGCTTGCCTCATTGCCGGTTAGAAAGCCAATGGAACGAGTTTCGTTGAGTGTGCAACTAATTTTCTAAATGGTTGTCGCTGCTGATCGTTGAGCGTGGCAAAAAAAAAATATATATAAAAAAAAAAAATACAACAACAACACACACACTATTTATATGGCCAACGGCGCACAAAGGAAAACTGTCGCTGGAATTGGTCATCAAATTCGTAGGGTTTTGAAATTAGAAAAGGTTTATCATATATTAACTTGTATTTTCAAATATTGAAATTGGTATTAAATAATTTTAAAAACAAATTTCGAAAGGTAGATTTGATGAGTAAAAGGTATCATTAATATGGGGGATGTATGGGGTTTAGGAAATAATATATTGTTAACAGAAGTTGTATAAGGCATACGGGGTTTTTGTATTCTAAAATATCTGCAAAATATTTGGAAAATATAATTCTTAACATTAGAATACTAAGTTATTTAGAAAAGTTAAATGTGTTTTTGAATTAACAATGTTTCTTCTAATTAGATAAATCTTAAAAATAGGTAGTTATTAGTTTAAAATATTTTATTTAAAAAGATTTGGATTGATCTTGAGAATAATAAAATGACTTTCTTCTTTCCCTTAATACTCCTGAAGATTTAATCATAACTTTCGCAAAGTTCTCGTTCCCATTGGAACATTTTGGGCCTTGGGCAAAGATTTAATATGATAATATAGTAAAATCGAGCCAACATCCAGTTTGTGGGTGATATTCCCCAGATTGTATGGCATTAATGCCACCCATTCATCATTGCAAAGATCGGTCTGCCAGTTGGGAAGATTGATTGATTGAATTTTAATCAAATCTTCGGAATCCGATTCTTTTCTTTTCATTTGTCCGGATTTTCTACTTCTTTTTGGAGTGCGTCGTCATCGTAAATGGTAGAAGAGCTACCAGAACCCATCGAAAAAGAAGAATCAGCTGAAGAAGATTGAACGGATGGGAGACTTAGAGAGAAAGAGAGAGCAGGCAAGTTAATGGATTAGGAAGCGAGCACAAAAGGCAGTCGAGAATCGAATCGTTCTCCCTCCCACTAGCTCTTCGCCCTCTTCTATTGGAGAGTTAGAGAGTTATCGGGAGAGAACGAGAGGGCGATATAGATAGATAGAGAGAGAGAGTGGTAACTGAGCGGAATTTGATGGCCAAAGGAAAGGTGAAAAGAGGCACAAGTTGGCTTAGATGATGATGATGACGTGTGCATAAGTGTGTATGAGCGCGATACCTGTTTGTCCACACACACACACACATACACACACCTGTGTGGAATAACTAAACAGCGACCCGATTTCCAGGGCAAAAAGAGAGGGTGATAGAGCGAGAGAGCATGAGAGAGATGAAACAACCAGCGGATCAGAAAATAACAGAGCCCAAGAATCTTAGCCATGCTCGTGTAGATTATTACAAATCTTGAACAATCTCTAAGGAAAAAAAATCTAGAATAAATCTGGAAGAAATCCTGAAGACCTTTTTTCTAAATCCTTAAATGTTTTTATAAAGTGTTATAATGCAAATAGCAGTAATTTCTTTAACTTTATTTTTTAAAAATAGATTTAAATATATGGTAATTTGCTTATTATCAAAATAACTTAGCTTTAGTTCAATGTTAATAAGTAATTTGATTTATTCTTGTAAATTCCTTGTAATATTTTTTTGTAGTCAAATGATTTGATTATTTGTTATCAAATGTATAATTAATCAAGATCATAGGTTAGAACAAGAAAAATCTTCTTAAATCGTCTTACTTGTTTAGAGTATTAATTAACAATTATACAAATACATACAACGTGTAGTTTTCTTTTAGTATTTGTAAAGTGTGTTAATGCTAAAATACAATTTTCTTTCGCACCAAAAGAGTGCTATTCTTGGCCTCGCAACCGAACCAATTTAAATATAAAAAAAAAAAAAGGTCTCTGTCTCTTGGCCAAAGCTGAAATGTGTGCTGGCCGACTAAGCCAATTATTTGTGGTATATGTTTTATACTATATAGGCCGAAAATCGGTATGCAAAACCAACAACAACAAAGGCAAGTGGTCTCGTGGAGACAAAAATATGTAAAACTGTTCTCATTAAGTTCTCAGCAGATCATAATGATGTTTCGGTCTCTCCCTCTCCCGCTCTCCATGGTACTTGTATGAAATAAGATTTTTTTTTGTGGGATTTGCCGGTTGCCACACCTGAAATTCAACTGTTGCGCTCTCGCTCGCGCCGAGCGGCCGAAACGAAAGACTTAAACAACATACGTGTCGTGCTCAAAGAGCGGGAGAACGCGCTCTGCTGACGTCGGCTCTTTTCTGCTCTCGCTCTCCCTCTTCATTCGCTCTCCTTCTTCGTCGCTCTCTGATTATTGCCTTGTTCTTTTCACTTGTTTCCAGGCGCGCCGTTGCAGTTCGTAAAAACACGGCTCCGCCAGCGAATTAAACAAAAACCACCGCCAAATTGTTTAATAAGAGAATCTCATTTAATCAAGCAAGAATATACACCGAAATTGCGTAATCAATTAGTCTTATTCTTTTTTTTATTCAAGTGCCGCCAAAAATCTAGTGTGATTTTTTCGTTTTTCTTTTCGTGCTGTTCGTATGCCCTTTTGCCTGTTTCGGTTTCTGTTTTGATTATGGGTTTCCTCTATTTTACTTATGTACCTGTTACACACAAACACGCAAAATAATATAAATTGAAAGCAATTGCAAAAGAATCAAAAATAAACAAATAAAAGGAACAAACGTGCGAGGACACTATTTTGCCTCTCTCTCGTTGCCGCTCGCGGGCTCTCTTCCTCTCTCGCTGTCTGGATTACGCTCATTATTCGCCAATATCAGGTAAGCAAAAACAAAAGCAAATACAATAATGCAAATACAAATAAAAAGCAAAACACAGTCGCAAATGCAAAACTAACAAGTAGAAGAGGGAAAAAACAATTTTAATGTAATTTTAATTGGAAAACGTGTTCGGTTTGCCGCCGAGACGCCGAGACACACAAAAATGTGATAAAATGGTAAAGAAAAACAGAAGAAAATGATTTTTCGGAAAATGTTGGTAAACGAAGAGCGCACCATGGGGAGACTAATCTGTTGTTTTGCCGGTCGAGAATTGTCAATGAATATGTTTTCAGACAATTTTATAATGACATTTAAAAGTGCCCTTAAGTTTATCCTACATCCTTTCCCTTTACTCAGAACAGATAGGCCTATTGTAGCTCGATTATTATTTATCATATATTTATCATGTATGTATATCATAGAATTTCCAAATAAATTATAGAATATTTAGATAAGTATTGAAATTCCTTGATAAATCATAGATTTGTTATATATAGTATACACTTTTTGATATCTATCGATGGCACCTTCCGGAAAAATTCCTGTTAAAAAATGTACAAACATTTTGAAACTACTAAAAACTGAGAAGCTGTCTCAAATTTTCAAATATATACGACTCCTTCCAGTTGTTTCAAGTGTGTCTCTAGTCTTTCCATTTGTATTTTCTCAGCTCTTAACTTTAGTGGCATTCCCTTTTCGCTCATCAACTCGCTTGTTGTTGTTCTCGCTGCTGGGCTGCATTTTCTGCGCTTTTCAGTTTAGCCAATATATACCCCCTCTGGGTCTGCCCCGAACGGAAAACTTAGTGATTTTCCTTTTCGTTCTGTCTCATTGCCTTTTGCTCTCCCCCAGTTCGCCTCCTACTGATTTTTCTCTGTCTTTTCCTGATGGCAATGCATTTGGAAGAGCAGATCTAACAAGATTTTTCTTTTCTTACAACAGCGGGAAAACCAGCATCTTCTTCTTCTACATCTTTGAGATTACCCCCCTGCTTGTGTATGTGTATGTGTGTGTGTGTGTAAAATGTTTTTGTTGTCTTGCCGCTGATTAAATTGTTTGAGAACTTTCGTTTATAATTTGATGCGCTATCTCCCTCACGCGCTCTTTAGAGGGGGAAAACTCGCCACCCACTCGGAGGTTTTCCAGCCCCGAAAATGCCGCCCACCGTATTTAGTTTCATTTCTGTGTGCAATTAGGCAGCATTTATCTCGTTTAAATTTGCGGCAGTTTACGAAGCTCAGCGGGTCCCGCTTATCACAAAAACCCAAACAAAGCACAAAAGATGCGTGGGTGGGGTGGGGAGGGGTGGCCAGGGAGTTGGGAGGGATACACTGGACAAAAAACGAAGCGCCTAAAATGCAGGTTCATATAAAAAATTAAGCAAAAATTAATTAAATTCAAAATAAAATGGAATAATAGATTAATGATGATATTCTTAGAAACTTGCATGCTAAAAAAAAATTATTTAAGTAATAATGACACCATTAAAATATGTTTCAAAATTATGAAATTTAATCTAAAACCCTTAAATGTTTTTATTCAAACTTTGCCTTCCTAATAATTGTTCTCAGTATTGGTCGGAGGCTGGAAGACTGATGAATGCCTGCCTAAATTTAACTTGAAAGTTTTCAGAGTCTGTGGAAAATTCAGATCTGAAGAGGAGATGTGTGCGAGGTGGAAGAGATTAGAAGAAGAATTTAGTTTAAAAGGAAAAATGACTTTTTAATAATTTTCAAACTAACCACAGATGGACAAGAGACTTTCAAGAACAACATTAATGAGTACTAAGAGTTAAATTTAAACTTAATTTATGGTAATTTGATATTATAAAATATTTAAGAAAAAACACCCAAAGCTTATGGATTGGTAGATTTCCAGACGTCACAAATTAATTACAGCCCTGAAATTGGTAATTTCCTATTGCCGGAACCCCTGGGGGATCCAATTGAGGCCTCCTCCAGGAGACCTAAGCCTCAAAGTCGGCCCACACTGAGAATGCTCTCTCTGCTAAGCTTTCCCCGTCGAAAAGGTCTCCATTACAGACCTACTTACTCAATTGTTTCTCGCTCACTTCACAATGGCAGCAGGCAGGCAGGCAGGCAGGCAGGCAGGCAGACACTGCCACGCCCCCTCTCTATTTTCCGGGAAGCACCTTCAGCCTTCGGAGGCTCGATTCTAATGCATTTCCAAACCCTGATGGCAATTGAAATGCTTCTGCAGTGGAAGAAGCAGCAGCAGTAGCAGCAGCAGTAGCTGCATCATCATCATCGTCATCCCCATCTCCTCTTGTTGTTTCGTGTGGCATGTCATCATTAGGATGTCGTCTGTGCACTATAAACTCCATTGATACCCTGCTATCCTGCTGTCAAGTAGGAGTATGCCAGGCTCTTTTTACATACAATACATTTTTGAGCCAGAACATCTCGAGTTTGCTTCAAGTATTCTTCATTTAATTTTAGTTTTATGTGCATCTGTGGCATTTGCAACATTGCTGGGTATCTGTGTAACTGTGCATCCTGCCTGTTTGCCGGATACTTGTTGTATTTTTGGATAGCTGCTTCGACAGCCGCCCCGTTGTCCTGCCGGTTGCTGTTCTGCTTCTGTTTCTGCGGCGGCTCTAATGCATTTTTCATGCATACATTTAGCAAACGTTCGCCAATCAGACGATGCCGCTACTTGATGCCTGTCTCTGTCTGTCTCCGTCTCCGTCTCCGTCCCTGGCCCTATCTCTACCCCAATAGTCCTTCTCCTCATCGACCTCGCCACCTGTCTCTCCAAAACTCAACTCGACTGCAGTTTTTTGGTATTTGTCATGTTGACAAATTGCAATGCCAACCAACATATGTGAAACTGCTGTGGAAATTCAAGGAGCGGGCAATACAGGGGGGGAGGGGCTTTAAGGGGTTAAGGGCTAAGGCGGCATGGAGGGGTGGTGCTGATTGAGGGGCTGCCGCTCACAAGTCCCAAATCCATATGCAAATGCCATTGACAGGTGGGCAGGCGCAGGTAATCTGCATGACAATCTTTTTTTTTCTCCTATTTTTTGTGTGTGTCCTCCTGGTTTGAATTGAGTAAATACACTGAGAGAAATCATAGAAAATTTTAATAGTATTTCAGGATTTAATTAATTAAAATTAAATTAAAAACTGAAAGGGAGGTTTATCGAGTGGAAAGGGCGGATAATAATACTTATACAAAATATCGCCTTTAATGTCATATTGAAAATATCGTAAGTTATCGATGCTATATCGATTATTTATGTATCGAAAAATAATGCATTAAATGTTAAAATATAGATAGATAACGAAAAATAATGTAAACTTTGTATTTATTTTTTCAGCTGAATATAAATTTAGTATAAATATATCGATATATAGACTTTCGTGTAAAATATTGATTTAAATATTAATTTATACAACAAATTCTCAAGTAATATAATTTATTAGTTATTTTTTAGTTTTTTTTTTTAATTTTTTTCAATGTCTCTTATATCTCCAAATTCTGTCACTGTAATGGCTAAACAAATTTAAACCTTTATTGGGGACAGAATTTCACTGATTCGAACCAATTTCAACTAGAATGCAATGCTAGGTATTCCGTTTAGTACATCTCTCCCCGTGCAATTCTGCCAGATTGCTCTCGAACAATTGCATTTTAATTGCAGTTACAATTGCCGCACTTTCCCCCGATATCTATCTATACATACATATGTCTATATAGAATCGGGCCCAAAATGCTAATCAAGTTTCGGCCGCTTTCCGCTTCCGCAGTTGATTTCCATCCGTTAATCGTTGGTATTTTCGGGGTTTTTCGGATTGTTTTTATTTCCAAAGCTTTTGAGAACGCGCTGGAACGGGGAAACGTGTAGATTCTGCGTATTGCAATTATCGGCGATATCTCCCGTGTTTTATTTTGTTTATTTTGTGGTTTTGCTTGGGCCTTGGACAGCCGCCGATGAGAGATGAGATCATAGCCCAAAAGGCGTACGTTTCGGGGCACGGCGAAATCAAACAGACAGAGCCTTTGTTTATTTTTGCAAGGAAACAGGAGCCACTCCAGACTTTTGGGGCTGAATAAATAAATAGATACAACAGAAATTTTAAAACAAATTGCCAAAACGTAAGCGCGACACCAAAGGCGAATTACTATGTATATAATTTTTCAAGGAAGCGTCAAGTAAATATTTATGAGGAAGTGCCCAAGAGATTGCCAAGAGATTTATTTGAAAGATTTGCAATTGAAAGGTTTTGAAGATATTTGCCTTTAATTTTGTGGCCTTGAACTTGGCCAAATAATAATTTGATTTATTTTCAATTAGCCTTTCCTTTCTGTCATATTCCAATGGCCCTGAGCTGTCATAGAACTCGGCTTGGATTTTAGTTATATTTATTTTGAATAGAATAAGTCTATTTATACTTTGTACATACAATTCGAGAGATTAATTCATTTTTCCCCCAGAGCCAGACATTAGATAATTACGTTTCTTTTTTTTGTTTTTTAATATTAATTACCAACTGTACTCGGGGTGTTGATGTACAGACAGACAACACGAATTCACGTGAAGCATCTCTCAGATTGTTTTCCAGGAATAAAGTATACAGATAATTCATTTGCTAATTATTTAAAGCCACAATTTGCAAATAATATCTATACAATCCGAGATCTTTGACTGTGCCCACATATCTATATATGTACATATGTATATATGGTTATATATACATGTTCGCGTAGAAATTCCCCCAAGCCCAGAATTATTCCAGTTTTTTCGCCACAGCCCTCTCTCTCTACCCGACTTTGTAGGTCCCCAAACAGGTCTCGAAGCAACTCGGGATCCCACTCCAAGGCATGAAAAAATATATAAAATAATACGGAAAAAAAAGAAAGAGTAAAAAATGGAGGGAAAAAATCAAGCACTACGGCGAACTTAATTAGAAACAACAGCAACAACTGCGGCGGGCCAAATAAAAATTAGAAATCTTGAAATGTTGCTAAAGTTGCTG